ATCCCACCCCATTACAGCATTCCTGGATGTAGCGCCTACGCCACTTACGATAGGCCCTTCTAAGGAGCCTTCTCTTAAGGGCGCCCCTAGACACTACTGGAGCCTCCTTTTGTGGGGGACACTCCTTGTATGCTCCAAAAGGAGCACCCGGCGCGCCTCTGGGAGGCGGTGTTCGGCATGTGAGTTCTCTACCTAATTCTCTAATTCTGGACTGCCTCTTAGAGGGTCTGGTTTTAAAATGAGAATATTGTCCATTACTGTGTCTGACTCTAATTCTTCTACCTGTCCTTGCAATGGCTTTGGCTTTGAAGGCGGAGCCTTGAAACTGCGTTGTGGTCAGAGTGGGTAAGTGAATCTCAACAGGATCAATACCAATCTTATGGGGCCTGTACTGTAACAACTTGTTTCTGGAATACTGTGGTAAATATGTTAGAGAATCTGGACTGGGTGAAATGAGTTGACAAAGGTTGAGCTGCACAAACCCTGCTACACCCTCCTCAAGCTTCTGAAGTCTAAGTGTAGTGTTGCCATTCTGAATGTGCATGATTGTATTCAAAGTAGCCTGAAACACTGAATCAACTCCCTCTACTTGGGGTGGTGGGAGGGCATGTTATAGAGACCAGCATTGAGAGCATTGCTGCAAAAGGCGTTGTGGTGCAGCCTGCCACTGCCTTCAGAAATTTCAAATGTGTGGCTGAGGCATGCACTCAAAAGAAGATTTGATGGAGCTTCAACAGAACATAAAATTTCAAACGGTCTGTGAGCTGCACATCCTTCACAACACAGAGCTCTGCTGGCTCTGCATTGCGGTGTCTCAAACCTCCCATTCCACCTCTGTACAAGGCGGCGTTGTGGTCTTGATTGGAAAATCAAACTACCCAAGCCATGCCATCACGAGCCCTTACCAGACTTTGCCTTTGCTGCAGTTGACTTCGGCTTCACTGGCGCCTGTGCTGGAGGCGTTGTGGTCTCCTGGGCCCTCAAATCTGCTGCCACACTGGCCGGTGGCTTTCCCTGGATCGTCGCCACCGAATAGTCTCCGATCTTTTCGGAGGTGGCGCCGAATTTATCGGCCATCTCGTCCCAGGAAAAGTAAATACCATCGACCACGCAGAACTGCAAGTCAAACGGGTAGGGCTCATAGTAGCTGCTGTGAATAGCCGCCTGCGACCAGTGCCGCTTTCCCTTTCCCAGCTGCAAACCCTTTCCGGTTGTCTGCGCATTGGCCTTCGCTGCCGTGGCCTGCTTCGAGTCCATGAGGTCCAGCTCGTACTGGGGACCCCACATGATCTTGTTCCGCTGCTCCGTCCACAGCGTGTCTTCCTGGGCGTTTTGGTCTGCTGGGGCAGACATAACAATCTTCTCCAGCTCTCTTGTGATCTCCAGCCTGCCCTTGAACTCATTGCCCTCCTGGAAGTAGTGGACTCTGGCCCATGCAGTGATGTCAGGATGGAACTCTTGGTCCTGCACCGGCGCCATGATGGTGAGGGTTTTCCAGAGAATAACCATCCTTGAGGTGGCGTTGTAGTCTGGGTGGCTGTTCACACAAGCCAAGACTACACGAAGAGGCGCTTCTAACTTCCTCTGCCATTGAGGAGAGCAAGGTGCGAGCTTGATGTGCTTGTTGTGCACCGGAGTGCCCTCGTCCTTGTATAGTGGCAGTCCACTACTGCCCCCAAATTTCTCAAGCACCGCCTTCCGCATCTCGAAGCTCTTGAATGACAGCACGGTCATAGAGGACCAAAAGTCCCCACCCTGAGGAACCGTGTTGGGCTCGTTGGTGAGGGCATTCAAGAATCTCCCCAGCTCGTGCGCGTTTTGGTCATCCAGGTACCGCCTGAACTTCAAGAAGTCCATCACTGCTGGTACCTGGGAAAGAATCCACGTGATCATGTAGATTCTGTCCTGTGGTGGCATCCCAGTGGGCCAGCCAACTGTGAGGAGCTGCGTTCCACAAGCATGGCGTTGTGCTGTTCTGTTCTCTGAGGCCATCCACGCCAACTCTCTTCTCACATGGAGCACTCCCTCATTGACTTGCTTGAGGCCCTGCTCAATCTGGCACACCAGTGAATAATATTCAGGACGAATGACCTTTTCATGGTAAGCTCTTACCATGTCGAAGACCTGTCTGTTGTTTGTGACAGGCTGCTCCAACCATCCAGTGATGGCGTTGTGGTCATTTATGTCGACGCCAAGGGCCCCTGCAGTGACTTCAATTGCAGCATCGCTCTGGAAAGAAAAGGGCTGCAACAACTCACCTGACTGGTCCTCGGTGTCCACCTCCATGCTTTCCTGCGCCGGCTTTGGAGTCTCCGCAGGCGTTGTGATCCCGCTGCCCACCGTGGGCCTCTCTTGGCTGCACCCCCTTGCCAGTACAGCTTGGACACCGCCTTGTAATCTTCCTTATGAAACAGCTGCCTGACCCCCTCAAACTGGGTGAGGGCTGTGGGGTCCGGGGAGCGGCTCGAGGATGCATGCTCCGACATGGCAAATGCCTAGCTGTCCCTAAGGGAGAGCGTTGTGGTCAGACCACAAAATCAAAACTCATGCAACTGCTTGCAGCCGATACGCCTTGACCCCTATAATACTCCCCTATATACCCAAAACTCTAACCCTAACCCCTAAACCCTATACCCTAAACCCTGAACCCTAAACCCTAAACCCTATACCCTATATAACCCCCCCCTCAAGGAATTTAGACTACAGCTCAACTGGGCCGAAGGCGAGGTGGCCGGGCCGAAGCTCTGTGGCGGCTGCAGCTGGCGCCGCTTCAGAGCTTGTTGCCTCCTGGGGGAGTGGGTGGGTGGGGTTAGTCTAAACTCCTCTTAAGGGGTTTAGGGTTTAGGGTTAAGGGGGGTTATGTAGGGGATTATATATAATGTGATAATGAGCTATAGTCTAAACTCCTAGTATCCTCCCTAATAACCCCTATAGTAGTTCCCTATAGAATCCCCTATATAACCCCCCTTTAAGGAGTTTAGATTATGGTTCATATAGGGTTTAGGGTTTAGAGTTTAGGGGTTTAGGGTCTGCGCCTTAGGATTGGGGGTGCAGGGTTCAGCGGAACTTTCCTTGGGCTCTGGATGCAATCCTTACAGGCATGGTTGGGCTCATTTCTTCCGCGAAGGGGAGACGTACAAGCACAGAGGAATGCTAAAACCCTAAATCCTGAACCCTGAGCCCTAAATCCTGAACCCTGAACCCCGAACCCTAAATCCTGAACCCTAAACCCTAAATCCTGAACCCTGAACCCTAAATCCCGAAACCCTGAACCCTAAACCCTCAACCCTAAATCCTGAACCCTGGGTGGTTTAGGCTTGATCGAGGCTCGAGGCTCTACGTAAACATTCCAAGGGCGCTGGGCCCTACCCTAAGTCTCTTGGACCCTCATGGTGAGATCCAAAACCTTGGCTACACAAACTCCAGGACAATCCTTACTGCCGCTGAAAGGGGGGTGGGGCAGTGGATACAGCTACCATGATAGGGATATATATATATATGTATATATATTAACCCTAGTTAAATCCTTAAGCCGTAAACCCGATACCCTTGACGCTAAACCGCGCATCATCCCGTGAGGTTAGACTCTCCTTCTTCTCATCATGAAACTCATGGCGCTGCAGGCATTTTAAGCCCAATATGACCCAAATTTATAACCCCGATATAACCCCGATATTACCCCAGTCGGTAAATCATGGAAAATGTGGCAAATTAATGGCCCAAAACCACGAGAAATTGTTGAAGAGGCCGTTCTTCATACTTTGGGGATCCACGTAGAGAAAGTGTACCTAAGAATTGCTCGTGCACGATTGCGGGCAGTCATGGGAAGCTTGGAATGCGGGGGTTAGGGTTTAGGGATTCGGTATGTGGGCAAATCATGGATTCCATTCATGAACCTTTATTGGCCCGATTCATCCTTAAGAAACACTGATCAAGGGGAAACCTGAGGAGTATGGGTGGGGGGATAGGGGACACATGAACATTGCTTGGGCTTGCAGTTCACGGCATAGCTTGATTTTCACAAGGCATGGCCAAGTGGGGAAGCAAGCTACATGGATATCATATACATGTAAACCGACTGCGAAAAATGAAGGTTGTCCATGGTAGTAGTTCTAAGTTTAAGGGGCTATTGGATGTATCCTGATGTTACCCGGCTATGCCTTGAGTTCCCTAGCTTGGACGAGATAGATTGACGTTCGTGCCTGCTGGGAGGCATTGCCGGCAGCGTCTGCTCCAATGTCAACCATCAGAGGCACAGGCGCAGAACCGGGAAAAAACGACTTGACACCTTGTTGTCCCTTTTTTGGTGCTGGTGGGGCTTTTCCCCATAGAAATACCTCATTGTCCTTGGTGTTTTGATTAGTGGTGTAGCACCAGGGCAAGGATGTTGAAATTGAAGCGAAGGGACAACAGGTGTGTGCAGTCTAGAGGCTGCTTTTTGCGAAGCCTCAGACTTTGCTTAAGATGGCAATTAATACCTGATGTTTCGTGCGCGACCCTACTGTACAAAAAAGCGTGATGCAGAAGCTCATGCATTGAGCGCTTCGAACATGATCTTACAGATTCTAACAGACTCTAGCATCCGCTTTTAGCAGCAGACTGTAGGAGAACCCTCGAGGCGTGGTGTGAGTTGGTGCACAAGGCGTGTGATAGTAGCAGACTGCTTGTTCACGTGAGTGAACTTGCTTGAGCCAGCTGCAAAGTTGGGGATGACGTGAATCAGCAACATCTTGCGGTGCTCAGACAAAATGGGAACATAGGGGTATAGTATAGGGGTTCTAAAGGGATAACGGAAC